GCCATTGGCAGAGTATTTCTCCAAGAGCAGGGCATCGCGGAAGGGAGGAAAGGAAATGTGTTGTCCTTACTTTTCCCGAAGTGGCCATGTGGTCTTAGCAGAGCCGTAGCTGTCCCTACAGCAGGCTGGAGGGAAGCTGCCGTCCGTCCGTCCGAATCCCCACGTTGCGAAACAGCCCAGGTGTGGAGCCAGAGCACTCCTGGGCACCCACTGGCCACAGCTGAAGGGGGAGGCAGGGACGTGGTGGGTGTCCTGGCGTGGGACGGTCACTGGAGAGCAGGGAGCTGTGGTTTGTCTGAGTCCAGAGCAGGACGCTGAGGAGCCAATGGGCGGCAGTCAGGTTCCACAGGGAGTGGCAGAAGTTCTCCGGGGAGGCTTTTATTGGTGGCTCTGGCTTTGGGCCGTGCCCTGCCCTCTGTGCCTGACAGAGAGGTCTAAAAGATATTTCTCCTCTGGTTTCTTCTGGTGGGCGTGGAGGGAGGAGATTTACAGCACTGCCTGGGCTTTCTAGAGGTCCCCTTGTTGCTAAGGGTTAGCATCTGACCTGGCAGCAGTTCACCTCCAGGTATTTGCGAAAGGATTAAAAAAGGAAAAAGTACATAGCAAACATTTTATGGTGCACAAACGCACCTGCCCTTTTGGAGTGAAGGTTAACTGTCTGTGGTGTTGCAGCTATTTTCACCTGGGTAGTAAGGGGAGAATGTGTCAGAAGGGGGTCTTTTCCAAGGACACTTTTGTTTCACTTGTGTGTAACCAGGTCTGTGAGGGGGGTTCATTCCCCCAGGCTCTCCTAGTATGCACAGAGGTGCTTTCTGCCAAGGCATCAGGCAAGGTGATTTACAGAAGATTGGATGATGGGGACCTTGTTGGAGGACCAGGCTAAGAGGTGTGACATAATTTCCCCAGTTATGTGTACAGAGGACTGCTTGAGTGTTTTGAGTTGGTGCTCACTTCTGTGTGCCCCAGCCCTGTTTCATGGGGTGAGGGGGAAGGTCAGCAGCGGCAGCAGCACTTGCTCTTGGTAGGCTGAACCCCCAGCTCTCCAACCATCTGGGTCCACCTCCAGCTTCACAGATGTGGACTGGCATGCTATTGTGCCCCAGCACAATTATTGGCCAGGACATGGTGGCCCTGTGGTGCGGCAGTGGCTCCATGGATGTGCTGCTTCCCCAACCTCTGTGTGATGAAGGCCAGGTGCTGGCCATGCTCCTATCGTGGGAGTGAGCACCTGGCACTAGGGCGGCCATGCACCTGTGGGGCATTTGGCTGGCATTTCATGTGCACAGGGACATTTATCAGTTTTTCCCAGGAAACTTCTACTTTTTCCTGCTTACTTTGCACACCTTTGGTTGCCTCCATCAGACTGTGAGTGCTGGTGATGTATAATTTCCGAAGAGTAAGGAATTTTAGAATGAACTTTTTAAGGTTTTTCAGTATTCAACCTGGTCTGCCTGCTGCATTTAAAAAAGAAAGAAAGAAAAAAAATTCTATCCTGACTTGTGATACGATTTGTGTTTCTTGCAAGAGAAAAGTTTGTTTCACTTGTCCTGATCAGCCGTAGATATGGAAGCCCTTGAATGCAACATTAGCCTGTCATCTCCCAGTTCTCTGTGCAGCACGGTGGATTTATTACTGAGCTCCGTGCTCCACATCTGATAACCTGGAGGCAATAGAGGGGAATATGCTGCATGGGAATGATCATTTGCCTGTGATGCAGAGTCAGGGAGGGTGATCTTACAGGCTTGTAAAAACAGAACTGCAGAGCACCTGTCTGTGTCCTGGAGCACACGCTGCTGTAGATTCACAACTGTCCTGTGCTGTTTCCTGGGGGACTTGCTGGGTGGGTGGGATGTGGTGGGAGAGCAGAAACCTCAGGAGGGCTCAGCTGTATGTGAAGTCAAGTGATGTTCCGTAAACACAGGCCTAGTGTGAAGTGCGAAATGCAAAGGTGAAGTGACCGGTCGGTAGAGGGCAAGGCTTGTGTTTTCCCTGGGAGTGTGGACCTGGAAAAGCCCGCTTGCCTTGTGTCTGCAGGACTGGGCTCTGGGGGTGACGCCGGGGCCGCAGGGCTGAGCTGCTGCAGCACGGGAGAGGCTGCAGGCCCTGCTGCAGGGGGGAATCCTCCAAACAACACTCGGTGTGATGCCCTGCCCGGCCTTTGGCTGGTCTGTGCTAAGGGGGAGGTGAAGAGAGCTCTGGCCCCTCTCCTGTTTGCCGCCTGAGCACCAAGCGAGTTCCAAGTGGTAGGTGATGTGGAACAAGATCCGTGAGGGGCAGACACTGGTGTACTGGGCAGGTTTGGCAACAACACGTGCATTTCTGTATCTTCAGGCCACAAGGACAGCACGTTCAGTACTGGTCGAAATGCCTGTTAGGAGCTTTGCTGTTGGTCTTGTAAGACATTGGGCTGCAGGTACCTAAGAGGGGTTATGGAGCAATCCCCGTCTGGCCAGCAACTGGATGATTTTTCCCCTTGCCAAAGGGATGATTTGTGTGTGGCATTTCCCGATCCCCGAGCCAATCAACCCAAAGCTGTTTTGATGTCAGCAGTATTCAGCTTGCAGCTTGGAAAGCGTATGGCAGGGACAAGGTTGGATGTGAGAGATAAGTGGCCGCAAGGTTGCACCTCTGAAGAGCAGTGTTTCCCTGCCAAAGTGGGAGCGTGGAGTGGGGCTGATATTTTTCAGAGTGGTACGATTCAGTATTTTCATTCCTGAGCTGCTGGGCAGAGCAGGAGAGGATGGCACTGCCTGGCACAAGTACCAACAGGCACAGTTGTGTGAAAGCAGGAGCTGATGTAATTCAAAGGGGTTTGGATGAGTTGGGGGAGCAAGGTCAGAGGGATGAGGGTGCGCAGTAGAGGTTCGCGGGCTGAGCCATTGGCAGAGTATTTCTCCAAGAGCAGGGCATCGCGGAAGGGAGGAAAGGAAATGTGTTGTCCTTACTTTTCCCGAAGTGGCCATGTGGTCTTAGCAGAGCCGTAGCTGTCCCTACAGCAGGCTGGAGGGAAGCTGCCGTCCGTCCGTCCGAATCCCCACGTTGCGAAACAGCCCAGGTGTGGAGCCAGAGCACTCCTGGGCACCCACTGGCCACAGCTGAAGGGGGAGGCAGGGACGTGGTGGGTGTCCTGGCGTGGGACGGTCACTGGAGAGCAGGGAGCTGTGGTTTGTCTGAGTCCAGAGCAGGACGCTGAGGAGCCAATGGGCGGCAGTCAGGTTCCACAGGGAGTGGCAGAAGTTCTCCGGGGAGGCTTTTATTGGTGGCTCTGGCTTTGGGCCGTGCCCTGCCCTCTGTGCCTGACAGAGAGGTCTAAAAGATATTTCTCCTCTGGTTTCTTCTGGTGGGCGTGGAGGGAGGAGATTTACAGCACTGCCTGGGCTTTCTAGAGGTCCCCTTGTTGCTAAGGGTTAGCATCTGACCTGGCAGCAGTTCACCTCCAGGTATTTGCGAAAGGATTAAAAAAGGAAAAAGTACATATCAAACATTTTATGGTGCACAAACGCACCTGCCCTTTTGGAGTGAAGGTTAACTGTCTGTGGTGTGGCAGCTATTTTCACCTGGGTAGTAAGGGGAGAATGTGTCAGAAGGGGGTCTTTTCCAAGGACACTTTTGTTTCACTTGTGTGTAACCAGGTCTGTGAGGGGGGTTCATTCCCCCAGGCTCTCCTAGTATGCACAGAGGTGCTTTCTGCCAAGGCATCAGGCAAGGTTATTTATAGGCGATTGGATGATGGGGACCTTGTTGGAGGACCAGGCTAAGAGGTGTGACATAATTTCCCCAGTTATGTGTACAGAGGACTGCCTGAGAGGTTTTTGTTGGCACTTGCTGGCCCTGTGATGTGCCAGTGGCTGCAGCTGCATGGAAATGCTGCTGGGCAGCCTGTTCCCCAGCCTTGCTGGACAGGCCCATCGTCTGCACGATGAAGGCCAGGGGCTGCCACGCTCCTGTCATGGGGGTGAGAAGCAGCAGCAGTGGAATTGGCAAAGGCAGTTTCTTGCTCCTGAGTCAAGGGCTGTGGTGGAGGGACCTGCAGTCTGAGGATGAGCTCCTCCTGCCCCATGGGACTTCTGTTGATTCAATGCACTGCATGGGATGAGTTTGAGTGAAAACCTTTATTGGTCAAAGCATTTTCTCAGGCAAGGCATCCTTTGGGGTCTCAGCCAGGCGCAGGAGCGCTGCGAGCGGCACCGACATTGGCAAGTTGTTTGTTGTCATATCCTTGTGCCACACAAAGTGAGGTGCTGGGCAAGAAGGGCCTGTGCCAGGAGAGTGTCTGCTGCGCTGGTCCCTCCACTCAGTCTCTCGTGGCTGTGTCCTTCAGAAGAGCAGGACACTGCGAATACTGAAAATGGAAAGGAAGGGAGTAGTTACAGGTGCTGTGGTTCAGGAGCAGGCAGTGGAGCAGGCAGGTGTGCCTGAGGACCGGCCAGCTTCTTTCTCATCTGGCTCTTCCTATCACAGCTGTGTGAGACATGCAGCAATGGGGCAGCCTTCAAAACCCTGCTGAAGGGAACCCCTGAGGAGCTAAGGCACCTTGTTTCTCCCCAAAGCCCTTGTGCTGTCACTGTAAGATACATTCTTCCTTCCTTTTGCTTTTATGCTGTTGTCACCAAGGATGCCCCTAACTCCTTGTGTTCTATCACGTGTGGAGTGCTTTCAGTTACATGAGATGGGGTTTCTGAGGGCCTGTGCTGGCTCCAATGCAGCACAGGGGCCACAGGATCTCTGCTGAGCTGAACTGTGAACAGGAGTGTTCCCTGTGCTGAGCATGGGCTCTTCGCTCCAGGTGGATTCTCCCGACAGATGGCTCTGGTCCCCGCTTCCTCAAAAGGCTCAAATGCTTTTTGAGAAGGCAGCGTTGCATAATCTCTCTGCCTGCCAGAGTGTTTGGGCTGTTTGAATTTTAGGTGGAGGTGGCATCTGCTGTACCCCTCTCCTGATAGTCAGGGTCTCACCTTTTTCCGGCACGTAACAACTCAAATCCTTCATTTACTTTAGCAATCGGCAGCGTGTGCGTGATCAGTAAGTCTGAGTTGAATTTCTTCTCCAAATAGCTGGAAACTAATTTGGGCATAGAATCTCTCATTTTCCAACCTAGAAATGGGAGAAATCACCCACAGTGAATAATCAGAGAAATGTTGTTTTGGTAAGGTAATGTTTGTAGAGTTTGCTGGTGCCAACATTGTAGCAGCTCTCCTCTGAGCGGAGTATTAGAGCTGACCAGGGGTTTGTTCCCTCTGCCAGGCTGTGCTGACCTGTAAAATAAAGTTGAGGCTGTGCCCTTGTAAAGTGTGGTAGCTACTTCTTGGAATGCATCAAAAGTAATGAGGCTAAAAATGTGAGAGGGTCCCTTGTTTGGGCTGGGAGTATAGCTGGAGGGCATGAAAAGATCTTTGAGGTGCACCTGCCCCTCCTCTGGCAAAAAGACTGAAGCACTTACATTGTAGTGAAATGCAAGGTGAGATCAGTTGCTCGGGCCTGAGGGGAGTGTGTATGAGAGTGGCTACCCCTGAAAGGTCAGGTAGAGGTTATGTGTGTGATGGAGGGACAGGGGTGAGAGAAAGCAAGAGAGTGGGAGAGGGAAGAAAAGTCTTATACTGGAAGGAGAGAGCAAAGTACAACAGGAAGGTGTTAGAGAGACTACAAGGAGTTTCCTTCATGTGACACATTTACGATCTTCCTACACATACTGCAGGGTCAGGACTGAGTGACCGGTACGGTTCCACTATCTTGTGATCTTTCCTCTCCTTGGGAGGAGGAGAGTGATTTTGTCCTTGTTTTAGTCTCCAGTTAGCATAGACAGTTCTGTCTGTTGAACTGTATGAAACAGCTGCAGGTTTATTAGCACATTTCATGCCTATATATACAGTGGAAATGCACCACTCCCTTTTTTTTTCTGGAAAGCCCTCTCAAAGAGGGTTTCTGGGACACTGCCAAGCTTGAAATATTCTTGGTGACCAAGTGGTTAGTGAATAATTAGTGTGAGGAAAAGTGTCTTTTATCCTACAGCTGAGGACTTTGCTCAGATGGCAAAACTAATTTTCAAGGGGAGACTTATTTACATGCACTGAAGTGTACCTTTTCCACAGACACACTAGTGGCAAGCGACATGGAGAAAGCTGAGGTACTCAACAATTTTTTTGCATCAGTTTTCAGTGGTAATCTCCCTTCGCACATCTCTTGAGTGGGAAGGGACTGTGGGAGTGAAGTCCCTCTCATCAGAAGTGAAGATCAGGTTCAAGACCACCTCAGGAACCTGAACATACCTAAGTCCATAGGACCTGACAAGATGTCTCCTACAGTCCTGAGAGAACTGGCTGATGTTGCCGTGCCACTCTCCATCACATTTGAAAAATGGTGGCAGTCAGGCAAAGCCCCTAGTGACTGGAGAAAGGGAAACGTGACACCTGTTTTTTAAAAGGGTGAAAGAAGGACACTGGCAACTACTGACCAGTAAACCTCATGCCCATGCCTGGTAACTTCACGGAACAGATCCTCCTCTAAGATATGTTGGAACATATGGAAGACAGAGAGGTGACATGGTGCACCAAGGGAAAATCATGTGTGACTAACCTAGCAGCCTTCTACGATGGAGTGAGTGTATCAGTGGACAAGGGGAGAGCTATAGATGTCATCCACATGGACTTCTGTAAGGCCTTTGATACAGTCCCCCATGACCTTTTTACTGCTAATTTGGAGGGATACAGCTTTGATGGGTGGACAAGTGGATAAGGAATTGGCCAGGAAAATTATCAAAGGTCTGACACCTCTCCAGTGAAGAAAGGCTGAGAGAGTTGGGGTTGTTCAGCATGTGGACAATGCTCTGGGGAGACCTTACAGTGGCCTTTCAATACTTAAAGGGGGCTTATAAGAAAGATGGAGAGAGACTTTTTAAAAAGGCCTGTAGTGACAGGACAAGAGGTCACATTTATAAACTGAAATAGGGTACATTTGGACTGGTCACAAGGAGGAGTTTTTTTTCAATGAGGGTGGTGAGACACTGGAGCAAGCTGCCCAGAGAGGTTGTGTATGTGCCATCATTGGAAGTATTCAAGGTCAGGTTGGACAAGGCTTTGAGCAACGTATTCAAGTGCAAGATGTCCCACCGCACAGCAGAAGGGTTTGACTGGATGATCTTCAAAGTTCCCTTCCAACTCAAACTATTCTGTGATTCTATGATTTGGAAAGTACCATGAAAGGAGAAGGCTGAAAAGCCTATCTAGAATGTTTTCCTAAGTTTCATACCTCCAAGCACAGTTCCTTTCCATGTACGCCCACACAGCAGAAGCACAGGATCGATGGGAATCACCGAACCAGAAACTGCTACCCCAACCATCACACAGACGCCAGTGCTCATATTGCAGGAAGCCAGGGCAGCAATCTGATGGGACAGACAGGCGAATTGGAGAACGTTCTAATGAGTTTGTCAGAAAAGCATTCCTTCTGCGTGGTCATCTCCCCTCCCTGGTAATCTGGAAACACCTACTGCCTTGTGCAGCAGGCATGGAGAGCTCAGTGCCTGTTTTGAGACTTGTATGTCATTTTCTGCCACAGCCCATAGACTGCCTTTCTGAGCAAAGATGTGCCCAGCAGTGCAGGCAGCAGGAGCTTCCTAACAGGGTGAATTTTGCCCTGATGGGGGAGGCTGTGAAAGAGCTGGGAGGGAGGACATGTGCTGAAATGCCACCTTACCATGGTATCTGCTTGCCCGATGACCTCAAAGGAGTAGTCCACACCATGGCCGGTCATCTCAGTGAGCACCTCCTGGATGGGCTTCTTGAAGTCTCGAGGATTGATGCAGTCAGTGGCTCCCAGCTCCTTGGCCTTGGCAAACTTGTCCTTGTTGATGTCAACGGCAATGATGCGGGAAGCTCCGGCCGCCTTGCAGCCCATCACAACAGAGAGGCCAACTCCTCCAAGGCCAAAGACAGCACAGGTGGAGCCTGGTTTTACCTGTACAACATGGGGCCCTGTGAGTCTCCAGTGTGAAGAGGAGGTTTCTGTTGTGCAGGGTTGGTGAGGATGCGAGGGTGGCCATGGGGTGCTTGTGCTCGACATGCCTGAATACCAACCTTGGCAGTGTTGATGGCAGCCCCATAGCCTGTGGAAAACCCACAGCCGAGCAAACAGACTTTGTCCAGAGGTGCAGCAGCATCTATCTTGGCAACGACGTACTCTGGGATCACAGTGTATTCTGCAAAGGTGCTGACCCACAGGAAATGGTGGATCTGTTTCCCTTTGCAAGTGAAGCGGCTGGTCTTGTCAGGCAGCAAGTTTTGTGATTCAGAGAAGCTGTTGGGAGGCACAAGCATTTGTTTTGCACCAAATAAAGCACCCGTAGGGGTGTCAGACTTGCTGAGAGACAGCCAGCCCCATGTAGGTGTAGGGCAGGGTGAAGCAAACTCACTGGGACTTCAGGCAGTAGTTGGATTCGGGATTCAGGCAGAAGCTGCATTCCCCACAGTGAGGCAGGGGAATGGGGATGACTTTGTCTCCTGCAAAAAAGCAGATCCTGGTTAGGTGCCTCTCACTC